ACTCAAATCCACATTCAGCCAGGAACATCACTTGCATATTATGAACAAGAAAACTGGAGTCTAGAAACTGGAGCTGATCAAGGGAAGCAGAGCCATCCAGAGTCCTCAGTCCTAAGCCCTACCATCCTTCACCCCTGAGAGGTAACAAGAGTCTCCTGACAACCCCACCCCCAGCAGCTATAGCACAAATGTGCACACTTAGTGGGTGGAAGACACATAGGTAATTACATGGCAAGACAGTCTACTTTATTCAGCAGAATTTGGTTTTGGGAAGGTTGGTTTGTTTTTGTTTGTTTGGTTGGTTGGTTGGTTTTATTTTGGGGATTTTTGTTTTGTTGTTGGGTTTTTTGTTTTGGGGTTTTTTTTGTTTTGTTTTGTTTTGTTTTTGTTGTTGTTTTTGAGACAGGGTTTCTCTGTGTAGCCCTGACAGTCCTGGAACTTACTCTGTAGACCAGGCTGGCCTCGAACACCTTGATCCACCTGCCTCTGCCTCCCAAGGGCTGGGATTAAAGGCACCAAGACCCAGCTCAGCACTATTTGTAATAATAAGAAATGGAGCACACACCAAGGTCCCTCAAAAGAAACACTGCTCTTTATCAACTTTGCCTTACCAGGGACAGCAGCTGCCAGATCAGAGTTCACTCTCCTTCCAAAATGGGGTCCTCTAATGTGACTTCAGCCTTTAAAGGATATGACCAGGATCAGGGCCAGGATCAACCCTTCCATCCGACTGTAGGGATGCACAAATGGTTAAGAGAGCATGCCACATCCCTTCTCCATTCTTTTATGTGTCAATTCAGGATTCATATGGTCAAATACAGCTGTTAGTACCTCCACAGAGCACTCCAAAGAGCCCTTAGTCCTACGGACTTGCCCACTTCCCTAGATTCAACCTTACAGTGAGGCATGGACTCACTGTTCACACTAGGAGGTGCTGAGGACCACACCAGCCCTGTTTCCTCATTAACAGGGGGTCAGAACACCTCACCCAGGGCACACTGGAATAGCCAAGATCATGGGGATTTACAAAAGCCTGTGTATTTTGCTCATTGGAAGACACTAAAGGCCCCACCACTGGGCTCCAGCTGTACTATCCGAAACTGTCACTGGCTCCTCGGAAGCACTCCAGACTCAAGTAGTTTCAGAATCAAGGCCAGCACCTGGGATCATTCCCAGCCATGTCAAAGTTCTTCAGGCTGGTAATATGCTGTGTGTCTTTCTAAGTCTTCATATAGATGGCTTTACATATCCTACTCATGCTGGTATCCATTAAAATGAGATTTCTCTGCTCTCATCTGCCACTCTACCCAGAATGCTCCCTGTCTAGCTGCAAATCCATTGTTTCTTTACACATGCAAGGATGCTTAAAGATTTACTCTACACATAACCAGGGCAGAGGGACTGCAATTGTTTTATCTCTCCAGTGCCCTTTAAGTTATCAGTGAGGGTTAGAAACTGAACAGGCCTGGGAAGGTGAACAAACCCAGGCCCCATGAAAAACACAGGTTTCCCTGGAAACCACAACTCTCTGAGGTATTTCCATCTTTTGGGAAAATTCCATAGGATTCTCTGAATCTCAATCAATGAGGCTACAGGAAGGCCTGCTTCTTGAGAGAAGCTGAGTACATGCCACCATTCAGTGATCAGAGTTCTTCTCCTGATCACTGCCACATACCATAAGTCAGAGACCACCTCTCCTGTCTGCCTCGGATGAGGACCAGCTCTGTACCTACTTCTCAAATGACCCACCTACTCCAACATCCATAGCTGTTACCACTCTAAGAGATAAAAGCAGTTAAGGGGGATGAGAAGGAACTGCAAAGCAGCCTAGACACCATTATCCTGGAGAAGGAGGCCTATCTGGGTCCAAAGCACCCAAAGGCCCTTGAACAAGGTCATGGTCCTGGATGAGGGGTGAAATGAGAGGGGACATCTGGCTGGACAGCCTATGGCAATGGTTCTGTGGCTCTTAAGGCCTCTGCAGGGATACCTGTTCACTGTGGACAGAGGAACCTTGGTGATCAGTCCAAAGAGCTGAGCCATAGGTAAGCCCAGAACCCAAAGTACAATCCCCATGACTTGGTTTCCCGTTTAGTTCTTTCAAATGCCGTGCCTTTCTAGCTGTCCACTGGCCTGGATGTTAGAAAGTACAAGTTGTCCACACTCTCAGCTATAAGGCAAGCCACCTCTCAGCTTACACAGGAACATTTTCAGCCTCAGTTTCCCTCCCCATCATGCTCCTCTGGCCAGCAGGCAGTAAGTCTAGCATGTGGTAGGGGCATCAAAACCCAGCAACCTCTCCCTATGTCCCTGAGCTACTTGGAGCTCCCACTCAGCTCTCTTGAGCACATCAGATGAACATGACTTCTATAAGGCTCCCATAATACTCCCACCTCTGCCTAGATTTGTCTTCACTGTGGCTCACTCTTGCGATGGGGGGTGGGGGGCGGGGCAGGGAACTGGGTAGTTCACAGTGGTTCTGCCTGGGTGACCCCCAGGCTAAGTGTAGAGATATTTCTGAAAACATCTCTCACAAGCAGTCCATAATGGTATTGCTTTGTAAAAGGCAAACTGAAGAGCCCTGTGGCCAGCAAGTCTGACCTTGCCTACCAAGGTCCAAACCAAGAGTGGCCACCTCCTGACTCTGGGCAGTGGCTGACCTTCAGAGATCCAGCAGGACTGGCTAAGAGGCTGGTACTTCTGGACATCCCACAAACCAGGCTTTGATGGCCAAAGGAAAAGGGAAAGTGGCCCAGGAAAACCTAATACTGTTAAAATGAGAAACTCACTTTTCTGAGCCTTGGATCTGTTCCCCACTAGCTACCTGGCCTCAGGAGGGGCTGTGTCATCCTTGTTAACAAATGAACAAACCAAACACTGCCTAACACACAGCTGGGCCCAGTCCATGCAGGGCCAGTAGTCCATACAAGGGTTTGCCATGTGCTCAGGAATCTCAGGTTATTGGACTTCCTAAATTAGACAAAGATCGGTGTGGAGTATTCCATGCCTGGAAACTGGGGGCATGGGTCATGAGCAACAAAGACATCAGAGATGTGTCACCTTTCACAATGGAATCGATAGGCATTCTGGAAGATATCAGTTGGTCTTCACAAAGTCCAGGAAGCCAGGAGTGGCTGTTACCACCTTACTGATGAAAGGGGTTCTGGGACTAGACACTTGTGTCTGGCTCTGAGTTAGCAACCAGAGACTGTTCTTCAATGCTCTCTCTCTCCTGCCCCCAATCCCAAGACATCTTCTTGCAAGGCCCAGCCACAGAGTATAGAAGCCAAGGGACCTGCATCAAGCTGCAGTAGTATATATGTCTTCATGGTCTAAGCCCTCAAGTCTGGGACACTGCAGAGGGCAGGAGTGGCTCTGTGGTGGATAATGTAGATGGGGAGAGGGGCACAAATCCTGTAAAGCAAGGGCCTCCCACATTGGACTCTTGAGCTCTAGATGCTGCTACTTTTAGGAAACAGGATTCAAGCAGCAGAAACAGAGAGCCTGACTAGTCAGACTTAGGGATAGTACAGGGCCTCCTAGAGGCTACAGACCCCTCCCCCAACTCTCCAAAAAAGACTGCCAGCCTGGTATCCACACCCAGCCCTATGGACACAAGATTCTATCCGTCTGTGTCCCAGGAATCACCTCAGGCCAGGACCTGGCTGGGTATCTACAGCCAGCCATAGTAGAAATGTTTGGGCCCCAAGACAGTCAAGGAGGTGGAGGCTACAGCAAAAGGACCGTTAGGGACTCATGAACTCTTCCTTGGAGTAAAGAAAAACACAGGACCTTAGGCAAGTGAAAATCAAATTCACCTCTCTGGTGGGGTGGGGTGGGAGTGGGGGCTGACACTACAGGCTGCTCCCCTTGGACAGCCTTACTGGTGAAACCTTTGCCTTGGAGAATTTCAGGACTACCCACAGGAGCACAGGCGTGTGTGCTCGAGCGCGCTCATGGGACACATACCCTGCCAAGGCCAGGACAGGTCCGCACCTCGATAGAGACTTTTCCTGAACATGTGTCTCACTCTCATCCCCAAATGCTTCTCATACAAAATGGCCGAGTCTTAGTGCTCCTCCTCTGTCCCTGGTTCTACTGGAATAGGAGAGCCAGCGTCCTTGCACTGGGAGGTTATGCATACTAACACACACACACACACACACACACACACATACATACATGAAACAGGGTTCGACCCTTGCTGGCTCTGCCCTAGAAGGACTCCCAGACTTGGGGACAGGACCAACCCCTTCCAGGCCCAAAGCTGTCAGTGCTAAGGGATAACAGTCGTCTCCTCTCAGGGATCTAGAGCCCAGAATGTGTAAAGAGATCATCAGCAGGTGCAAAGGGACTGCTTGGAGAGTAGGGAACAAGAAGAGTGGGCCTCGGGAGATGGGTGCAGGCAACTACCCTCAGCCCAGGGCTGAAGTGATGTGATGTTAGGTCCCCTCCCCATTTCTACAACCCGGAAGCTCAGAGAGGTAGCAAGAGGGTAGGAGGATGGAAGAGAAGAGGCCAGTCCTTTTCACTGCCCCTACTTGGATGTCGGAGAGACCCCACCGGGATGCAGAGAGGCGAATGAGTTCAGACCTAGAGCCGAGCCGCCCTCCCTCGTAGCCGGCCCTTTGTTCCGCGCTGCGGGCCGTGGGGAGGGGCCTCTCGGGCTGAGGGGGGCTGGGGCGCCAGTACATCCCGTCCTGCGGGGGAAGGGCTAGTATAACCCAGCCTGTCGGCCGTAACCTCCCCTCACCCCCCAAATAAAACAGTCCCTGACTCCAGAATGATCTCCAAAGTCACTCTCCAATCCCTGTCCTTTGCTTTAACCCGAGACTGCAGTGCCACGACCCAAACCCCACGCCCACGACGCGAACCAGGAGCGCGCGCGGACAACGCACACCAGGGCCCCTCAGTCCACCGCAGCTGCGCCTGCAATCAACCCGCAGCTCGGCCAGGGTTTCGCCAGGCCCACTGCTCACACCACATCGCGGGCCACTTACACGTAGGCGTGGTAGATGAACGCCCAGCCGCGGGGCCGCTCTAGCACGTTGTAGAGGAAATTCTGCAGCTTGCGGTAGAAGGCGTTGCGCTTCGGGGGCTTCCCGGCTCCCGCGCCGCCCGTCCGCGGCTTGCTCAAAACGCTGCCGCGCTTGGGGGCCTCGGAGCCCGCGATGAGTAGCGCGCCGTCGCGAGTGGAGTCGGGCGCTCCGGGGTCCAGCCCCACGAAGCCCACCTTGAGCTTCTTTTCCCCGCTGGTGCCGGGGTACACGCCACCGTTGCGCGACTTCTGCACCATGTTGCCTGCGGCGCCCTATCGGGCGCGGACTCAGCGGGGGCGGCTCGCGGCGGGTGGCGCGGGCCCCAGCCCAGGCCTCCGGTCTGGCAGCCGCATGGCCGAGGCGGCTGCGGCTCTGCGTTCCTACCTGGCCCGGCCGCGCGCGGGGACGCTGCGGCCACCCGGCTCCGCGCGCGCCTCGGTTCCTGGCCCGCTTCCGCGAGGGCTCCTCCCGCCGCCCCGCCCCGCCTGCCTTAACCCCTACGACGCCATTGTAGTGGCAGGCAGGGAGAGCCGGTCCAGGTATACTGCCTCACCGGACAACCCTTCCCGCTCTCCTAGCCCAGTGATCCTTGACGGGGAGTCCACCCCTGCTGTCACCTCTGAGAAGGGCAATGCTAAGCAAAGCTCTCTGAGGGATCCCAAAGTGGACCCAGAGTTGACCTGGAGTCAGCAAGTGGACACCTTTGGGAGAGGAGGGTCCTGGCCATTGTCACAAAAGATTCAGCCCACCGGGATCTTGGCTCTTAGCATCAAGAGGGCCAGCCATGAGGAAGGTCCAGCACTTCCTCTGGGTGTACAGGGAAGTTTGCGTAGGCTCTCTAGGGGTAGCTAGACCAATACCTAACACAGAATCCTTGCCCACCTCCAGGCTTACTGAGCCAACTGGACCTGGTTAAGGGAGGAGGCACCAGCCTGGCCCACCCAGTCAGAAGAGGCCTTGACATACAAGGGGGAAAAAGTGCTGCCCACTCCCTTGCGAGGGCTTGCTTTACCATCACCTCTGGGTCATCTTCCATTTAAATGTCTGAAAAAAAAGTTTTTTTTTTTTAAGTCGAGTTGGAGAGATGGCTCACTGATTGCCCTTCCAAAAGACCTGGGTTTGGTTTTCAGTACCCACATGACAATTAAGAACTTACCTCCAGTACCAGAGAATGTGACGACCTCTTGTGGACTTCTCAGGCACTGCAAACATGTGGTACTCATACACAGGCAAAACATACCCATAAACATAAGAATAAACAAATCTTAAAATAATATTTTTAAAATAACTAGATAAGTAATTACAGCACATAGACAGCAACTGGGAAAGGCCTAGATCATTCTATCCATCCTCCTGGGACAGTCAGAGCCCCAACCCGACAGTGGTGGTGCAAACCTTTAATCCCAGCACTTGGGAGGCAGAGGCAGGCAGACCTCTGTGAGTTTGAGGCCAGCCAAGTCTACAGAAAGAGAGTCCCAGGACAGCCAGAGCTACACAAAGAAATCCTGTCTGGGGGTGGAGGCTAGTCAGAGCCCTGAGGGATAAAAGGTTTTGGTTCCCTAGGAAGGAAATATGTTCCAAGAGGAAGCACTGAGAGGAAGGCAAGGTTCAAGGTTCTCTAGAGTTCCATAACATCAGCAGACACAAACTTACTCATCTTCTCTTTTGGGGGCGGGGAATGGGGACACACCCTTGAAGTTGTTGTGAGCCCTTGGCCCACAAACTTTCTGGTACTGCAGAGTATCACACACACACACACACACACACTGGAAAAGCTCATAGGGAAGTAAGCTTGGCGCAGAGAACTCTGCATTCTCCAGATCTCTATTCTCTACCAGTGTTGTTTGTACCAACAGCTTTGCCACATTTCAGAAGGTTCTAGAAAGTGACTCCTTCATTGCTTATAACTCCCTTCTTCCTCTGCTTAAGATGTCTTCCAAGGAAGCTGGCTCATTAATCATTTTTTTTATAATACCACGTCTTGCACACCTGTGGGCCATGCACTGTCAGCAGCTTGGTTACCAGCATTCGGCTGGCCTCCCCAAGACCCAGGAAAGTGTGTCGTGTACACCCAGTCAAGCAAGCAACAGGAACGTCATTTTATTTAAAAGTAGATGAGGAAAGCTTACAGGCTCAGACCATATTTGCCAAGGCTGCATTAACAAGATTCCAGAGGCGGGTGGTGGAAAAATTCAGATGCATATGATAACCCAGCTCCAGCTGGGGAGAGCTCTGGTCCAGGCTGCAGGCACTAGCAGCCAGCATCATAGAGTAATCCGTCAGCCGGGCGCTGTCCCTTCAGCACCTCCTTGACAGCCTGCTTGTGATATCAGCCTGGTCCTCTCTCCTACTCCTTAGAGCAAGGAATCTATGACCGTGACTTCCTGTTCTGCTATTGCTGAGCTACAAGGGGCAAGCAGAGATGTTGGACCATCAAAACACAAGATTGTGTTGGCTCCTATTATGTCAAAGAGTAGTTTAAAGTTCTTGCCAATACCCGTAACCCTTGAAGTCCTCCTTCATATTCCTTCCTATCCAAAACAATAATTTGAGGACATGGCTGAGTGGTAAAAGTATTTGTTTTGAATGCATAAGATCATGGGTCCCCTGCCCATCACCTTTTAAAAATTAATGTATTTAGCCAGGCATAGTGGCTCACACATGTAATCCCAATACTCAGGGGCTAAGATAGGAGGAGTATCAAGAGTTCAAGGCTAGAAAGACCCTGTCTCAAGAAACAAGCAATCAAAGTGCTGAAGAGACAGCTCATCCATTAAGAACATTGACTGTTTTTCCAGAGAACCTGGGTTCAATTCCCAAAACCACATGGCAGCTCACAACTGTCTGTAACTCCAGTTGCAGGGAGATGGAACCCTTATACAGACATAAATGCAGGCAAAGCACCAATACACATTAAGAATAATCTTAATCAATGTAAATATATCTTAAAATAAATCTTAAAAGAGAAACAAGCAAAAATCCGAGAGGCAATGCATATATATTTTCTGCCTGGGTCTTCCTGAATTTGTATCTTTGTACTCACTGTCAGAGCCTGCAGGGGTGAAGGGTCCATGAGCCATTACTCATGATGGAGGCCCACCAGCATATCACCTCTCTGGAGAGCTACACACAGCAACTTGGGTCAGAGGAATGTCAATGCTTTCTGAATGGAAACCTACCATTCTTTTTTTCTCCTGCTTAGATTGGGACTTGGGTCTCACAGATGTCAAGTGCAGGGAATGAACGTGGAAATTATGTGCTGCGTCCATGGTCTGTGCTGGCTAGACTGTCAGAACCCTCCAGTGATGCCACAGAACATATGTGCAAACAGTTGCCACCATCCAAAGCCCCTGCTAGGAAGCCCAGCTTTATAGTTTGAGCAAGCTTGACTGTTACATAATAGCAGTCATGCCCAAGAGTTTGGTCACCCTCTTTCCAAGGGTCAGCTATCACAGTCTGCAGTACACAGGGATCTCTTCCAACAGAGACCTCCTTCCAAGGAAGACAGAGCAGCTGCTAAGGACCAGAAGGGAGAACACTGCCAGCAGAGGAACAGACTCAATTTGGGGAAATGAGAAGAGACAGGTTCTCAGTCACTCTGGCTGGGAAGAGCTGTAGTTGTTTTAATTCTGTAATTTGGATGACAGGAAGTGCCAACCCAGGCAGAAAGGCCCCCCTTGAAGGAATTTTCCACTATTAAGAAGAAAGATGGTTGATTTGGATCATGAAAAGCAGTGCAGTGAGGAAAAGACAAGATATAAAAGTGCTGTATTTTTTGCTTTTTTAATCTGACAGGAACACTTTCTGGATAAAGTCAATAAGAATTTGATTTATAGAAGTGGGTTTTTTTGTTTGTTTGTTGATTGGTTGGTTTTGAAGGACCTGAGTTCTCAAGCTACCCTAGCCCCTGGCAAACCGACTAATTACTTGAGGAACTGAACTTGTCCTTCCCAGCCACTACTTTTATGGCAGGTGTCCCCACTGTGGTGACAGAGATATCGATAGCCAGGGGATGGTGGTGCCCTGAGGATTGTCCAAAGAGACCCCAAGGCAAGCTTTCTGGGCTTCTAGAAAGTTCTGACTGCCCTCTTCTGGGACAGCCTTATGTCCTTGAGGCCCTCCTTCTTCTTCATTCCTAGACCACAGCTTTGTAACTAGCACCCATCCACCCTTCCTCACAACCCAGACAAGTAAAGAAGCTATGTCAATTGTCCCTGTTGGTTTGCAGATAAAAAGTGAGCCCTCTTGTCTCAATGAGAGCATGACACAGGCTCCACTGTGGAGCAATCCATGCTGCATGCCCAGGGCTCATTTGTACTAAGTATTCTCCAACTCATGGCCAGTCATCTTTGAGATCATGCCTGCCACTCCCTCTCAGAACACCTCAACCTCTATCCCCAGACACTAGCCAATCACAGCACCCCAGTGCCTCTCACACAACTGTATGGACTGTGCCCTCAGCCTAGAGTACTATTCCTGATTGAATGGACACTGTGCCTCTGTTCAGGAAGGTCCTGAAGTCAGATATTCTCATTCTGTTGCCTTCTCTCCCAACCCTAGTTCCTTGTCAGTATGAAACTATGACTCATTTGCCTACCACATGCTCATCTTCCCTGTTCAGTAAGCTTGGCTCAGGACCTTATGGCCTTTCCCAGTTCACAGGCTAGTCCACGGAATGACTTGCCCACTTTCACCAGTGAATGGTCACTTTGGCCTTGGACTGATGTCACTCTGAGCCTCCATCCACATGAACCCTGGAAGGAAGCCCAGGAATTACATGGCTTGGGGCCTTTGGAGTGTACCCTAGGAGGGTGTGGGTGGCTGGAGCTTTGTTCTCTAGAGATGCTCCTGCTGGCAGAGTGGTCAGCACCTTCCCACACACAGGCAATCTGCTGCTGGCTCCTGCCTACAGCCATCTCATGCTCACTAGAGTGCCTTGCTTGACCAGTAGGCTGAACAGTGCTCTCCAGCCTTGGGCAGGGTCCCTAGTCCTTTGGAGTTCCTTTCCCAACCGATTCTTCAAAGTTAGCAAATGCTCCATCAGCAGATGACTTGAAAAGACTCAACAGAAGTTTCAGCCTTTTCCTGTGAACCCTGCGCTACATCCCAGCATCCAGAAAGTTCACCTTCCTTTATCATCAAAGCCAAGGTGATACTACAGGCAGGACCATTCTTGTTACAAAGTGTACCACCCCCCAGGGCCCTTTAGCTCTTTCAAGTTGGATGACCTTGAACAGGGCTAAACTCAATTTGTGTCTCTCAGATTGATTTGTTGAGGCTCTACCCCAAAGCGATTGTGTATCTTCAAGGATTCTGGGGGAAAGCAGACAGTAAGGATGGAGGCCCATGCTCTAGTTCAGGGCTAAGGAAAG